TTTTTTCTACTGCCCTTGGGCCATTGGTTTCCCTTGGTTTGAATGCATTTTCAAATTACCCAGAAATTCGTTTATAAAACCTTATCGAGTTTGTATGAACGTAGTTTTTCAATTGACAGATGAACAACGCAAAATAGTTAATATTCCATAATTTTTAGTGAAGCTTGTCACTTGTTGAGCTATTGTCTAGGTTAATGTTTACTTTTTGACGTTTTGACTGAAGTGCTGTAGTTATTTAAAACTATAATGTATAGACAGAACTGTTATTAAAACTAGAATGTCGTTCACATTTGTTCGTTTGTCCAGTGTCAAGTTAAGTATGTTAATTCAATATGTTAAATATCGTCAAATTTTGGAGTCAGTCATTGTGTCTGTAGCCATTAATTCGTTATTCGTCTGACACTCAGGCTATTGTGTCTGCCTCCCACTGGCACATCTGCCTGACTCGCACTTTTTTTCATGCCTCGCACTTCTACCTCGCATGCTTCGCACTTTTTTTCATGCCTCGCATTGTGCCTCGCATCGTGCCTCATATGCCTCGCTGCTTCGCATGCCTCGCACTATAGTAAAACTCGTCACCTGTTTGTAAGTTTCGTAACAGGAGAGTCCAGAAAAATGTCTAGCGTAAATATAAACATATACATGTTCCAACTTATGTACTTTTATTGTATTTACCTAGCTTTAATTCTATTAGTTTACATATGCAGAGAAAGCATTAAACAAAAATGAGAATTGATTATAAGACTTCAAAAGCTTACAGAGTGCAGACATATTAAATATACATTCAGTAACAACACGCGATTTGCTATAAATAGCAACGTTACAGTCTAGTAATGATATGATGATTTGTTATGCTTTTGTTGTAAGTAGGCCTATCACCAAAATACTATTGAAAATCCTTCTAAACGATTCTTTATAAAGTATACAAAGCATATACATTGATATCGAAACACAAAATTCAACGTTTTGAACAATTTGAGCTTCGTGACTCTGGTATAGACGTATGGGCCTAATGATTTAATTGTGTTACATTCCACTGCAAATCACCAAAATGAGCTTTTTTAAAAGTCTCGCGTGAGGCTCCAAGGCAATAACCCAAGCTAGTTTTTATATATAACATGTACTCATGCTATACCATTCCGTGGATGAAATATAAACAAATTCACGATTATCGCACATAGTAAATTTCCCCTTCAAATCCAGTGACAAAATGCAATTGTAAAATTTGACTAAAAATAGCCAATTTCTGAGTAAAGATTTACTTGAGTCACTGTTTTTATTTCACTCAAGTTTTTAAGTCAATATATATATATATATATATATATATATATATATATATATATATATATATATATATATATATATATATATATATATATATATATATATATATATATTTCAAAAACTCATTAATAATTCATGAAGCAATTATCCAATCTTGAGTAAGAACTGCTCGTTTTTTTAATAGTACATAAAAGACAAACTTGAGTTACTTCGTTTAAAATATTTATTCACGACAAATTTGTTTCGTATGGCAAACTAAGCTTGCCACACTCAGTTAAACGAAGTAACTCAAGTTTGTCTTTCATTTGCTCTACTTTCGTATCGAGCACTCGATAAATATGAAAATATATATATGAGTCTTGCTTGTTTTTATAGCCAAAGGAGAGTTTAGGAGTTGGGAAAATAATGTGAGATTAAGAGAAAAACGAATTACTACGAAGTAATTGAAAACAACTAATTACACAGTACAAAAATGAAGGTGAAAGATAGTTAAAAAGGATGTAACTACTACATATTATTAGTCAAGTTATCCTACCAAAGGTCTTGTTGTTGCAGGACATTCCAACACTACGCACTTTATTGTTCATCGTTCGTATTGGTGAAGTGAAGCAAATTTGCATGTCCTTTAAGGTTACAGGACACCCTTTTTGGCGTTTTGCGGAAAATCGCTACTGCGCGCTCAAAATCAGTCCGATTTTCATCAAATTTTCACCAAATGTTAGCCAGTGCATGCAAAATATGATTGACAAACAATAAAATAATGTAAGAATTATGCAGGAAAATCTTAAATCGCGGTACCTTTACGCTTTTGAGTTATGTTCCTGCTGGTTTTAAGATATATTTATGAAAACATCATTTTTATACAGTAAAATAGTTGTTCCAAAAAATTGTGTTCGGAAATTTTTGTTTATTTCGTCACTCCGCTGATATGGCGATTTCTTTGACGACTGCAATATATTTCTGAATCGTTTGTGTGAATTGTTCCTTATTATTAAAATATCCAAAATTAGAACAAAGCCGAACACAATTTTGAAATTGACGTCTTTAGCTATGTCCTGTGACAATTTGAGAAAAATTCGTTAAAACCTACAGGAGCACAACTCGTTTGAAAATCAGTAATTACCGTAAAATTCTTCGGGAGAAAATTGAATTTGAATATTACATTTTCAATGTTTTTCTTATTGCAAGCGAAATGTATTTTATTATATAACTCTGCGAGTTTTCAACATTTTTCGTCCAAACTTGGTCAGATAGTAGAACTAGTCTAATGCTTTCATGGAAACCAATAAAAAAATTTTAGGCAAAATTAACACTCAAAGGTGTTCTGTAACCTTAAGGGTTAACTTACTCAATGGTATAGTGAGTTTGAATGATTGTGATGGTAAGGGTGGAGTAGGATTTATTTTGCAGTGCATGTGATCATGTGACTGTAGGTGATTGCATCAAAATATGGTGTTAGGAGCTTAAATCACAGGGATAGGGGCTTTGGCAATTAGTGATACATAAGGGATAAAAATAATGACAACACCGTGCAGCTGGGTTTGATTTTTTTCTTCCTGCTGAAGAAGACTGTTATGTCGAAACGCGTACAGGGTTGCCTTTCCTACTCAATATCAATCTCTCACTCTTATATCCTCGCCTTTTATCGTGTCCCATAAAAATTTCACCTATTTTAGTTTCTATATATAATCGCAGTTTCCCTAGTTTTTTTACGTGCATCTTCATCATAGGCATAGGCGTACGAGGCGGAGGGGCTGGGGGGGGGGGCAATTTGTGACTTAAGAGTCGGGCAATCTTCCTGTGTACTGACTAATGTCACTAATCAATTTGGTCTTTCAAACAAACAAATGTTATTAATAGTAAAAATGCGAAATATTTAAAAATATTCAAACTAGAATATATGCTTGCATAAAGTTACAAAAATAATTAAAATAAACATGCTTTTCCATTCGCATCACTGGCTATGTTCCATAACTGATTGTCGCGAGCGCTAATTAGCGCTAAACAGACATCACTCCCAACGAATCGTGAAGAGACTTTTTCATTTTAAAGAAAATATGAAAAATATCACTCATACGCGCTGGTATACGCTGACATACGTTTCAAGCACGGTCGCATACGGTGGTATACGCTGGCATACGGCGAGGTCCGACGAGACAGAAAAACTTTTTAAACATGCTTAAAAATTTTGTGCTTATTCGGACGTATAGTTTATACGATAAGCTTGCTCCAGGCGCACGATGAATACGCTAGAGGTACGCCAGATGCTGAGATGCACGGTACTCATACACTGGCATTTCAATGGATGAACTCCAGTCTTCTATATAAAGCAAATTTCATCTTGGCAACGATTCCAACTACGTCATTGATGTTCTGCAGAAAGATCTTTCAGTGGGTATTAAACGAAGGGTTGAGGACGTATCTTCGTTCCACAATGGGTCAAGAATTTCTCTTCTCTGTATGGAACTAGCATATACTAATAGAACACGGCTTGAGAATGATATGGACAGAATCATTGATGTTTTTGGCCAACGAAGTTGCCGCTCCTCACATTTCTTTTGACAGTACAGTTTACATAATATATTCACGGGATAAACTTGTAGGGGAGATTAGGTTAGGTTTTAGGTAAAAGTTACATTTATGATATTAAAACAGTCATTAGACATGGTTTTGTTTCATTAATTTTCTCTTCGTTCCTCGCTCGCTCCAGCCAAAAAATTTCACCCCAAAACGCAGGAAATGGCATTTTAGAGGCTCTACATTTCAAAATTTCCCGGGGACGCATGCCCCCGGACCCCCCTACCAGTTCTCGCGCCTTCGCCGCTCGTCGGGCAGATCGACATCCGCCCCCCTTAAATTTCTAAGCCCGTACGCCTATGATCATTCATAGGAGTCGGAGTAAAGAAATAAAGAACAACCATTTTTGAAATACTGGTCCTCATTATTTGGGCTACACAATGTCTTACACCAGTTCTTGTCCAATTACCTATTTTATACAAAAAATGTAAAAACTAAAAAACCAAAGAATGTATATACATGCATACAAAAAAATATCGTGCAAGTCCTTTGACTGACAAAAAAATATCGAGCAAACTGGAAATCTACCCCCCCCCCCCCAACAAAAAAACAAA